TTACTTACTCAATTTCCAGGTTTTTTTAAGAGTTGGGAATGGAGGATGAGCGCAGCCAGGGGCTGGGAAATGTTTGAGGTGTTCCCTTTGGGATGAGCCATATTCCAGGAGCATCACAGCCCTGTGAACATGGGATTTTTGCTCCCTGTGCCCATCCTCATCCTGCTCTTTCAGCCACCAAATCACCCCGGGACATCCCAGCAGGGCAAACCCGCGTCCTCACCGGCGCCTTTCTGTGGAAATCCTATAAATTCCACCCCCTTCCCTCACGGCACGCCGCTGTCAAATCCTGCTCTCCCCCCGCGCTCCTGAAAGGAGTGACGGGCCCTTTGTCCCGGTGTCTGCTCCTGTTTTTCAGCGCCTGTTGAAACCCTCTATTTTTTTCCCCCCAAAGCCTGTGATAAGCGTTTGACTGATCCCACTGAGCAGGCGGGGATGAGCCATTCAGGCGGGATTGACACCTCAAGGGATTTGCATTAAACGCTTCAAACTCGCTCGGCTTTTATTTTTTTATTTTTTTAATTTTTTTTTTTTATCCATCATTATATATGTAGCGAATTCCTGTATGAAATCACGGCCCTAATCGTTGGCATTCACTTCTCTGAGAAGGAATCGCTCCCGGTGATTTTCCCGAGCATCCCGAGGCTGGAATCAGCCCCGGTGCTCCACGAACTTCGCCTTGAGGGGTTGGTTTGGGCTCTCCCGACCCAGGGATGTGCGGGATAAAGGAGGAAAATGGGGAATTCTGGCCCTGCAGAGGGTTAGAGGATGCGGAGAGGTGAAGGAGAGGGCGGTGCTGGGGGTGCTGGTGTGGCCTCACAAAGTGCCAAGGGCTGAGGTGCGGGATTTTGGGAAGGTTTGGGAAGTGTGGAACAGGGGCTGATCCCCATGTGCTGCTGGGCAGCTTGGGACGTGCAGCGAGGGGTAGAATCCCGGGAATATCCGGCTTCGGAGCCCCCTGGAACAGGGATGAGGGTGGGACAATGGTGGAGAGTGGTAAAAATAAATAGTGGGGATGTCCAGATTTCGGGATCTGCTCCAAATCTGACAGGAAAGGAGCCCTTGTCCCCAGGCTGGCATTTTCCTGCCATCCCTGAGGGGTCCTCTGGGCGTCTCCCAGATTTTGGGGGGCTCCAGGCCTCGAGATGGACCAGGTGTGGTTTTCTCTGCTTCTCCTCAAAACCCTTTGGAGCCAAAATAAGAAATATTTGCTCCATAACCATCTCCCCACTTCTCTCTCACCTGGAGACTCATTTTGGGAATTGTTCAGCTGTGACTGGAGGAAAATTGTTCTTCCCGAGGGCCGGGAGGGATCAGCAAAATCCAAATCCACCTAAACAGCCCCTTGGGCTCTCCCTGTGCTTCCCTGGCCTCTCGTTAATCCCAGAGATTCTTTAGTGGAGTTCCCACCTTTTCCAGCCCTGCCAGCTCCTGGGAAGGGCTGGAATGCCTCTTCCTGGAGGGATTAGTGTGGCCAACCCTGCCCCAGGCAGTGAACTGAGACCTGGCTTCATCTTCTGCTGCACTTTGCTGGTTCCTCCTGATCCAGCTGGGATTGATCCGGCCGACATTCCCAGCAGTGAGGGAATCCTGCCTCCCCTTCCCTATGGGAAATCGGAATTAGGTCGATGTTTTTCCTTGGTTTTCTGCTTTTTTTTTCTTTTTATTCCCTTTTATTTGCCTCTGCTGTCCTTGTGGGACTGGGATGGATGATGGATGGATGGATG